ACAAATTCAGTCATTTACGCATCTAGCCTGGATATGATGTATGACGTTGTTTTCGGGACTCCTCTCTCATAAGAGTTTTAAGGCGCACTGTGTCCTTTTATGATACATATCTTACATGAACAATCTGTACTTATTATTCTGCAGACATCATTTTACAAAAAGTTTAGATGTTGTTGTTGTTGTTGTTGTTTTTTTGTTCTCTGTTACCTGAAACAGTTGGGTAGGAACAGTAACAAAGCAGACTGCCAAAGCAGAGCGGAGTGTGGCACGTAACTGGAACAAAAATCTGGTCAGGGTGGGGCTTATTTCATTGCCGAAGTGTTGCTCTTCTCCCCACAGTGGCGAGCCAAGACCATGAAGAACTATTCTGAGAATTGTTCTGTTCTCAAGCTGAGAAAATAATAAAAGAAATCGTCTTATTGTCACTTTAACGTTCTCAGGACGCATGTCAACACAATAACATCCAATTATCTCCAGCCCCATGAGTGTCTGCCCTCCCGCATTGAGGCCACGTCCCTGGGAAGTGTATTTAATTGTAAATGCACTGCATCGAAAAACAAAAAACAAGACTGTTATCATTAATACAGAAAACTACCGGAAATTTCCAGTTTGTCCTTGCAAAAGGCAAGTAAGGTATACCTCGGGATAGCTTGGAATCTGGGAGAACCCACTTGGAATTTACAGCAGACAGTCCTGTTTGTCCAAGCCGTTGCATTTCTATCTTAAGAAAAACTTTAGGTTTTGATTTTCAGACAAAACTGTAAGATAATTTTCTTGTCTACACAAGCCTGCATCTCTGGCAGTTACCTCCTCTAAGTCTGTCTCAAGAGGTTCTCCCTGCCTTTTCACAAAGTTTTCTTTCAACCAGCCTATCTTATAATCAAAACTGTTTCACTCCCTAGAAAGTAAATCTTGAAATAGGGAAGTGTGTAAAAATTTAGTGATACAAACGTAAGATAGTTTAACAAAACATCAATTGATTGCCATTGATACCCCTTTCTCAGCAGTTGTAAATCCTCCTTCCTTGATTGCAGAATTTATTCTTGAGATAAGCATTCTGTAAACATTATTCTCACTCAATCTAATAAAGTGAATGAGAACACGTACATTTAGTTCAATACAACAAAGCTCAGTGGTAGGTTCTTAAAGCTGGTTGGTATTTTAAAAATGTTATCAGAACTTGTTCATTTGACTTTAATTAAAAATATCTTTAAAAAACGATGTGCTAAAAATTTTTTAAGAAATTCTGAAGCCTATACTATCAATAGTTAACCCAAAATTCTGGTATGTGAACTTATTATGTTTGCTTTAAAAAAACCCAGGTTCTCAAGTATGGTGTAACCAATAGGGTCAGATAAATTAAGCTCGAAAATTTGAGCATTATGCCTTTAGGGCATCACCCCTGAAAACATGCATTTGGCCAAATCATATGCTCAAACTTTTTCATTATACTTTATTTAATAATTCAAAATAATACCTTTTAAGAGCCTTTCAATCTCCCCCTCCCTCTTCCCTCTGCCCCCACCCCCTCCCCTGCAAAATTCCTACTGCAAACTATTAAAACTTGCCAAAGTTCAGAACCCAACATTTTACTGGATCAAATTTCTACAGTGCAAGCAAGAAAAGCAAGCGCACTGTTGACAGTGCTCAGGATACTGAATTTATCTCTTGTTGAATGTAAAGGAAATTTATACCAAATTTAGCCTTTATGCCAGCATTATGCCTGATTTTCTAACTTTAATTCTGGCAAAATTTATCTGAACCCAGTCACCAGGTTCAAAGTTATGATATCTTCTCATTTCAGAAGCATTTTTGAGCAGCTAAGAAGTCAACTGAAGAAGGTTTTATCCCACTTACTTACTTCCTTTCCTCTGTGCAACTGAGACACTTTGCCATTTCACTGGTCACACTGAAGGTTTGAATAGGAATAGAGCTTAGCTTAGTTTCATCCATAACTCTGGTCAAATCAAAGTAGTGACCAAATGAACCAGATGATGGCGATGACTGTGGATGAAAAAAGGAAAAAAATATGGAAACCATGTGAAAAATAAACTTGAAGTTTGTGATACTATCAGGCTGCTGGTTCATATGGCAGCAAATATCAGAAAATTATCTGGTCTCTACACAGAATTCTCTGGCTAAATGATTGATCTTTCAATACAAATAGGTGAGGTGTAAAACAGTCTACAATAAATCTACTGAAGTTCACCCACTCCTTCTCCCCTTTTCACCCTCAATATACAGTTTAATTTTCTTCATTTCACCTTGCAGCAGGAGTGCAACATTTTTCCAGACAAAAAGGTTTTATGAATTGATTGAGAACTTCCAAATTTTTAAGGACTTTGTCAAGGAACATTATTATTTTCATGGTGTTTACTATTTTTCCACTCATTTCCGGAATTTTTTATCAGACCAAATCCCAGCCAAATTGATCAAATTGCAGGAAGTATATAAAGACATAACCATCCAGATTAGGAACTGACCTCAAACTTGGGTTGATTCTGATATCTCCAAGCAATCTTCATAGACTGAATTGGTGAAGAACTATCTCCTGGTTCATCTACACTATAAGTTTTATTATCAACTTGTTGTGGAAGATCCTGAAGTAAAGAAGGAAAAAATCAACAGTCACACATGTTTTCATTTTCTTTTTATTACCTCACATTGCACTGGGACGACTCTTTAGTTGATTTGACGAGATCAGCCAGTTCCTGAATTTAAAAATATGACAAAACCCTATCTCCAAAGAAGCCCCCCTCAAAAATCTATCAAGGATCAATTCCTGGAATCAGTTATGATATATGAGGTGTAAATGATACTTTCAAGTTCTATAATATAAACAGTACAGAAACCTTTCTTTAGTCCCATGAGTCTCAATGAGTTACTTCTCATTTCCTCAAGAGGACTATCCAAAAGATTTACTAGGAGTAAAATGCTTCCAAGTTTTTGTCCTATTGATATATAATTATAATCAAAAGTTTCTTCTTATTATGTTACTTTTGGGATAATCGTTACAAATAGAGTGCATGTTATTTTGAGGTTGGAATTTGAAAAATGGAGCAGACACCCCCACAATGTAAAGCACCCCTTTAAACTAGTGTCCCACTAACCCTTTAGAAAATCAAATATTAGGCATCATGGGAGCTTATTTGATTATTTAAATTATGGTATAAAAACTAGGCTAAGCTGCCATGTCATCTGCTTCTCTCTTAGGTAGAAATCTTTAATAAGCATTAACCTAAGTTATGGAAAACAGAGATGTTAATTACCTTCAAAATATCATTGGGTTCTGGTTCAGCAGATGCCAGGAATATTGAATGACCAGATATCACTCCTTCAGCCAGAAAATACTTTGAAAGTTGTCGGGCATAAGAACTATAAGTGTCTTCCTCTAAAGAGAAGAAAAAAAATTGCCAAATATTTAAGAAACAGAGAAAGTAAACAGATAATTTTAATCTCAAAAGTTTAATAAAAGCAGTGAGGCACCCAAATGACTTTGAACCTGATAAAACAGTCAGTTTCATACAACTACAGATTCCCAAAATATAATGTCATTTGTTCATGGGTGATTTAACATTTGTGGTTGGGCTCTGACCATATTCCAGAGTACTATTCATCTTGTCCGAAAATCCAAGATAGACATTAAAAGTGTCCAAAGAAAGAATTTATATTTCAAATGAAAATTCCCCTTATTCTGATTTTTCTTCTTTTTGTTGTATTAAATGCAAGATATCTTTTTGTGTAAAATGCAACAGTTGTTATTTGGCATAACAATTACTACAGAGTGATCTGAGAACTGGAAGGGTAAAATATTTAGTTAAATAATGTTCTGTAATCAATAAGACTCTTAAGTCTGTGTACTAATTGTGTTCTTAGCTATGATTAAAAAAGACCACCACACATCAAGGCAACTGCTCCTTAGGGAAGCCTGTGAAATGGGATGCATGTCAGCACACATTCGAATTCAAGGGTGACAAATGAGACAGAGGCAAAAAGGTGCTGCTTTGGGGCTCACGAATTCATAAATAAAGTTAGCTTACTTGCTTAAACTAACAATCTGTTCTTATCGAATACCTGGTCAAGAACTACCAGGAATTAAAGTTGAAATCAGCTGATTGATTGATTAATTTAAAGCTGTTGTGTTATTTTCCGAATAATTTACCCAGAAAATTAGTCAAGCGGACAAGATGGCGTATAAGAAATAATATAGGAGGAAACAGACCTAAAATACCTACCAACCATAAAAACGGTGCCTACGGCAATTCCACCCCCTGGAAAAATGATTTTAATTAATCACGATTAGCCAGGATTGCCAAGACTGTGAAAACTGAAAAACTAAACACAAAAACGTTTACCAGTCCGCAATAGACTGAGTCAGTGAGTCTCACCTATAACGTTATCCATAGATGGAACTCCAGAAGATACTAGAAGTTGATTATTATGAAGAGAAGGCCTTGTTCCTGGGGGATAAATAGCACGACCTCGCGTACTCTTTTTCTTGAAACTGGTCGCCATTTTGAATTTTTGGGGCCCTGTATGTGAAGAGTTTTTTGTCGCTTATAGAGGCCACTGACCAAAAATCACGCCAGCGATGGCCAAATTATACCCAGCCACCCCATCCATCCATGGTCATGAAATCAAATAAGTCATTTTCATTTGGTTAAAGATAGAGCACTTCTGTTGTTCGAACCACACAAACTAGTAGCCATTTTCTTTACAAAACAAGTATATTTTCTTTCTTTGACGCAGGACCAGAGGGAAAAACCTCTTTTCAGGCGGCGAACAAATATCATTTTGCCTCTCCCCTCCCTCCTCAACTACAATATTTTAATGACGTCATGGACGTTTCGCGCCAAAGTTGAGAATCTTATGTCCAATTAGAAGAAGCCTTTTAAGAAAATTATACAAAAACGACAGCTTGTACAGTAACCAATCAATTTTTACGTTAGTTTGATTGTCTGGCTTTCGTTACCGGAGAACTGGTGACTAAGTGTAACACTTGTTCGTCACGTCAGGCAGTTGTGTTGGGAACGTCGTTGTTTTAAAAGGCTAAGAAGCTTTTTCCGGCCAGGAATTTTGTTGCTGGCTAACACAGCCATGAGTACAAATGGAGCTGCCGATAGATACTCCAATCATACTCTTGAAAAGGTGGCGAGAACCAAAGCAACGATTGAAAGTTTCTACGCAAACTTGATCACTCAACACCAAGAGAGACAGAACAGGTCTGATCGCAAAACATCTCCTTGGTGTAAATTAGTGTTTTTTGGTGTCCCAACTTCGTCGAGTTTAGTACATTCATGGCAGAAATACATCCCATGGCCAGAAGTTTGCTGTGTAAAAACAGATTCACGAAATTTGTGGCCTTGAAGTAATTATTGGTTTTCTTGTTTTAGATGGAAAGTCTTGGAAATGAATATGGAACAACAAGGGTTGACAGAAGAAGAGGTGAGTTGGTAGGGTATTTCCTGTAATATGTTTTAAGTTTTGACACATTCGGAGCATTTAGTAGCTTTCGTTGCAGTGCTTCAAGTTTTGTCTACTTTACGAATTAATGAATGGCGATGACTTGCTATCGAAACTTCACAACGTACAGGAAACCCGAGTTGAATTAGATTAGTAGTTGTTGCTGACATGAAATCAAATTGTTACTTTTAATAGAGAAGCCGAGTATTACTATTCTGTAAATTAAAATTGCAACGAATGGCGAGTATTTTCGTTTGGAAAATAATCGAAGATATCCGAACGTTTACGAGGGTTCGTTTAAAATGTTGCATTGTATCTAAGTAGACTAAGGTTTTTTGCCCCGAATATTTACTTAAGGCTGACATGTGTTTTGACTTTATCCAATTTTGAGCTGTTTAATTTTCGACCTTGATAGTACAACAGCAGTTTAAAAGACATTTAGGATATTAGAGGATTTTAACCGCAAACAAACTTGAGAAAGCTCGTGTCGTAATATCGCCAGCTTAGCGGAAAATTAATTCGCAAAGTTTTTGCATACATATCAGACCGAGTCATGTAAATTTTCCCTAACGATTGAAAGACACAGCATGAAGGCCAAGCTGCGAAATAAAACAGATTTTCTCTGGTTTGAAAAACAAGGTTTGGACGTCATTATATTTCGTCAAAAAAATCACCATCAACATCACGAATACTATAATTAATTTCGCCATCAATAATTATTGAAGTGTCATCGACTTGAACGTGACGACATAAACTTTTACATCGTCGATTGATGAACTGTATGTTGCCTTTGGTTTTGCTTTTGACGTATATCATTTTTTTTATGTTGTACATTTAGTATCTCTGTATATAAGTTTTCTCAAGGGAGAAAGGATTTGGACTAGTTATGAGAAGGTTAGGAAATGATTTTTCTGTGGAATAGCCTCTAGTCTAAAACACCTGTGTAGATTTTGCCCCTCAAGTGACAAATAGCCTTATTTGTTTCCCGAAACAAAAAGAAACAAAAATAAGAGAAACAAATGAGCATTTTAGTTATCTCCCACTGTTATGGTTTCAGACCACCAATATAACCTATGTTTCATTGTTTTGCACCAGCAATATAGCCGAGGTGATGTCATATTAGAAGCATTACTTGTCTTTGCAAGGGTTCACACACCTATACTCTTAACCCTTTACACCCCAACATTAATATTCATATTCTCTACACTGTTCTCTTTCTATTTCCTATGGTAATGGCAAGGAGAGTTTGTTTGATGATCAGGAGCTTCTCAAATTAGTGATCATTTCCTTAATTCTTGTGACCTTTATATTTGATTCAAGGGTAAAACTGTAAGGAGAAACTACATGCCAGTCACTCTTAGGAAATAAAGTGTTAAAGGAATCACTGTCTGTTGGTGTAACCCTATTTATTTACTTCAGGGTTAGATAAGTAGCAGAAAGTAAAAAAGTCAGTTTCCTGTGGCACAGCTCTATTTTTTTCAATAGGCCTTGAGAATGTTTACATTGGAATAGCTAATTTTATCCCTAAGGTATGATTTCATGGTGTGGACTGATGAATTTCAATAGGAAAACACTGAAATCAGAGATCACCCACATTTAAACTAGAAAGTGGCAAAGATTAATGAAAAACTTTGTGCATAGAGGCCTGGGGTGAATTTTTGACAAGTGAGGTCACTGTGCATAAGAGCTACCAACATTTCACAGCAAATAAACAAGAGACCTTTTAAATAATAAAGTTTTTCAGGGGATAAGAGTCTTTAAGCAGTTGTGGATAAGCAGCTTGTTAAGAGGGAGTTGTAGCTCTCAGGTGTCTGTACTTAAAGGAAGTAAGGCTCGATGATGAGCCACTGATCGAGAAAAGAGCCCAATTACATACACCTTCCCAGAAGAGTTACATGTACAGGTAGGGTGGGAGAGTAACCCCAGTCCCAGGGTTGTTTCTATGTTTTGTTAATGAATTTCACATTTCCCCTTACATGTCCAGGGTTGTTATGAGGAAGTATTGTAGCCACTCTGTTATAAAGAAATATGGCAGCATGAGAACAGGGAAAACTAACTGGAGCAAACTCAATATGCCTTTAAAAATGAATAATAGCCTAGGCCATCAAAATTTAACTTTAGGATTCTGTTTAGTGGTGAGAGAATTTTCTACCCACTGATGCTAAATTAACACCCTGGTTGCAAGATAACAGTAAAGTTTTCCTTGGAAGGGGAAAAAGATCAAGAAGTGAATGGTCTGTTGGTCTGTTCCTAAGCTGCATTAATAAACAGATCAAGATGAGATAGAACTTACTGAACAAGTCAGCCCTGTTATGAATAAGTGCTACATCACAGAAAAAAAATCAGCTGTATTAAGTACAGGTGCTACAGAAGCAAAGAGAGGAGATATACTCTAACCTTTTTATTACCAAAATCTCATGAGTATTTGTCCTTACTGTCTGCCATATAATTTTAATGATGTTAGTTTGGAGAATTGGGTATTGGATCAACTAATAATCCCCTAGTTGTTATTTGTTTTTATTCTCATCACTGACCTGCATGATATTGTAGCTTAACATTGTATTAAAAGGAGAAATTCTATTTTGGTCACTCATGGGAGTTATAAAAGGTTAACCAAGCTATCTTTAAGCTATAGGAGATATGGTAACCCTTCTAGGCATTGTAAGGGTTACTGTTCATCCTTGTAAGAAGAATCTACAAAAAGGTAAATGGAAAGGGTATTTTTCTTAGTTATCATTGAAGCTTTCAAACTTAATGAAACAGAGGTATTGGTATTTTGACTTAGAGGAATCATTGGTGAATTATTCCTTGGATTTTATTCATTTTCCTTTTAGAAAAAAGAATCAAGAAGCCATCTTGCAAAGAAGGAAACAGAGTTTTTGAGACTGAAAAGATCAAGAATTGGGAAAGAAGATTTTGATTCCTTAAAGGTGGTTGGACGTGGTGCTTTTGGCGAGGTGAGAATACGCATTAGTCTACTATTGCCTTAAATTTTTGAAGCCATCACCTCCGCAATCTTGTAACATGGATATGAACTTGTAACCACAATATAAATTTTTTATTTTTTTTTTGTGTCTGGTCTCAAACTGTTGCTTAAATGTTACTCAGTAAAACCTAGTTTTCACTTGTGTGGTAACTTGGAGATGTAGTTAGTAAAACCAAAAAAATTATTTTTATTGACAAGATTAAAAAATTTGATGTTTCAACCTCTCCAAGGTCATTTTCAAGTTCTAGTAAAATCTTAAAAAATTGAAAAAAACAGCCAAAAAATTAATATGATAGTTTTTAAAAAACTGATTAGAATGTAAAAAGTATTAAGATGTGTAAAATTGTATAATTACAAACAACATTTGAATTTAAAAGAATAGTCTAGAAATAATAGTCTAAAAATAATAACTTTTTTGTAAACATGCTATTCCTATGTTGTATCTAATTTTTATGGTTTTTTTTATACTGTACTAGAACTTGAATATGACCTGGTTCCTTTTTATCACTAATTTTTATTACAAAATCTATATCAAATAAACTTCTTTTTAAGATCTACCAGATAGTACTAAATTTGAATGGCTCACTGAGGTGTCTTTTTCCTTTTGTTATTCACAATGTAAAAGTATTCAAACTAGCTCAATTTTATTCCCCTTTGTTTCATGGTGATTCATATGCTAACAAACAAAAAACACAGAGAGATAAGAATTATTCAAAACTTCAATCAAAAACATAGTTTTTCACTTATTTTAAAAAAATGGATGGTAGCTTAGAAATCAAATCTCACTTGGGGTTTTTTTCATCTGGCAACAATTATCACCACGTAATCTACACAAAGTGGTTTTAAAATTTACTCTGAAAAACATCATGATTGTGATGTAAAAATATGTTCATTCATGCAGATATGTGGTAATGTGTGCATATGTCTGAGAAAAATGATGATCATGTATTTTGTATTTGACTGTTTAAAACTGTTGGAATCATGTATTCTTGGTAGGTACGTTTAGTACAAAAGCATGACACAGGCCATGTATATGCAATGAAGATCTTGAGAAAAGAAGACATGCTTGAAAAGGAACAGGTAAATTACAAAGTAAAACCTAATCTTATTATCTTCAATGTCTGGAAAAAAGTTGAGTAGTATAAATAACCCCACTGTTTTTTTTGTTTGTTTGTTTGTTTTTTTTGTTTTGTTATTGTCAGAAGAGCTCTGGTAAATCTGTGATATAAACAAAATCCTCATGTTAATAGATACCTTTTCCAAACCTGATAAGGTTTGTATTGTGTATTTTAATGTAGGTTGCTCATAGAAAAAGATATGTGAAGTCTGCACTTGTGTTTTTTGTTAGTCAAGAAAGAGCACTCGTCTGGTAATTCTGTGATATCACCCGAACTCCTCTAAAATACCTTTCCAAACTTGATCTGTTTTACACCATGTGTTGTAATGTAGGTTGCTCATGCCCGCGCAGAGAGAGACATTCTTGCTGAGGCAGAAAATCCTTGGGTTGTGAAGATGTTCTACTCATTCCAGGATGGACATTATCTGTATTTAGTGATGGAGTTTCTTCCAGGTGGTAAGCACATGACCTTTGTCTACAGGAGAGTTGGTCTCCCACTGCTCAGACCTTGTAGATTATTTTGATAAAGTTTATTTTCCTTGGCTTTGGTGAGGTTTGAAAATCATATACATGTAGAACATGTTAATGCTTGAACTAGATACTTTTCTCACCTTTAAGATGACTTTTCTTGTAGGTGATCTTATGACGATGCTCATGAAAAAAGACACTTTTACTGAAGATGAGACACGATTCTACATAGCAGAATCAGTTCTTGCTATAAATTCCATTCACCAAGTTGGATTTATTCATAGGTTAGGAGCACTAGACTTGTTATTAAAACTTTGTTAATTGTGTTTTTTATTGTTGCTTGGTTTTTATACTTGTTGTACCTATAAGGGTAGAATTATTGTGAATTCATTGAATTAGATGTTATTTAAATCTGCAGATGTCTGACTATTGCACTGATTATTATGATAGTTAACTGATTTAATATTTTTTTTCACAAACACCATTTTGTTCTTTACAGGGATATTAAACCTGACAATTTGCTGTTAGATAGCAAAGTATGTACATCTTTCAGTTACTTTTTCAAACTAAGACTTAAATTTTTTTGTTCCTTCAAATGAACATTCAAATGACCTCTTCTAAAGAATCCAACCATTAGATTGTAGACAAAAAGAACTATACTGCATTTTCTTTAAAAGCTTTCAGATCTGAAACCAGCTTTAAACAACCCTGTTCTGGTAGACTGTCAACTTGTCAAAGGAGAGAAGAAATGTGGGCAGCTAATTTTCTAAGTGTGAGGCAACGAATTAAATTGAATTATACTTTTATTTTCATAGGGACACATCAAATTAGCAGATTTTGGTCTTTGTACTGGTCTCAAGAAAGCACACAGAACAGAATTTTACAGAGAAATTTTACCAAGTGATATGAAAGATTTCTGTAAGTAAAAAGTGCCATTTAAGGTATTTAAGAGTGTGGCAATCTGAATGGATTTATTTGAAAGAAAAGTAAAAAGTTCACAGTTTATGAATCATCCAGAAAAGGGTAAGGAAGTTGTTATCCCCAAAGAAATTGCATAATGAATGGTTCTGGTCAACCAGGGAAATTTTCAACAGTTACTGTTAGTAGTAATTGCATAATGTTATGTGTTACTTGTTGCTGGAAAGTCCATGTAGTAAAAACATGTGACTGAGGTGCTGAAAATGCTGAATTTGTTAATCTAATTTTCCTTCTACAACTTTTCTTCTTCTCCCTGTGTTTCTCTGAAATCATTTCAAATTTACAGTTGTGAGTTTTCCCACACACATAACACTTAGTGAATGTGGTAAACCCAAACTGAAAATGAAGTTACATGCTGTACATCCTTCCTTTAGCATCAGCTGAACCATTAGATACAAAAGGCAGAGCAGCAACATGGAAGAAAAACAGGAGACAACTGGTAAGTTCTTAACTTGAAATAAATTGTTTCTCAGAACAAGAAGGTTGACAAGTTGATGATATTGATAAATAAATGAGCTTTAAAATTCAAGCTGAGGTGTCCATCAAAACCTTTTATACATTGATGTTTAATGGCTTTTACCAAGAAGTTAAACATCTGACTGTGAAGTTTGATCATCTGAGTGAGGGTAGCCATGAAAAGGGCTGTCATTGGTGATTGGGACAAGTTTATTGACAACCAGAGAGAGAAGCATAACCAGAATTTATCCGTTGACTGCTTATTAATCCTGCTCAGGTTGTCAAAATGTCTGTCATGGTACCGTTTGTCACTGACATTGTCAAATCTAATATTGTTCACTCAAGGTGGGTTAAAAAATGACTTTTTACTTCTCGAAGAATCCTGTGATTCACTTGTGGATCACACAGATGTTAAAGTGGTTCCAGAGCCAAATTCTGTTGGGTGTTATCATCAGTGAAATGCTTCTGTTTAGGTTTCAAATTGTTGGTAAATTTCAGTCACAATCCCTTTTGGAACTAACCTCTCTCAGACAATCATACCACATAATCAAATGCCATTAGACATAAAGAAGGTACCTCAAAGTTTTACTAGTAGCAATAATAAATTAGTTTTGTCTTGATTTATAATGAATATTTACTATCAATGATATCTTTTGAAAATTGTCAGATTTTTGATAGTAATGCAGCTATTTTAAACATCATTATTTTATTAAAGACATTGTTATTTTTATCTAACTTTGAACAATTCAATTTGCAAGTTAAACTTGGATAAGTGATCAGTTTTACTTGCTGCAAGTGCATTCATGGATTGATCATAAGTTTAGAAAGCTCATAAAATGTTAAAAAATTCAATTGACAGGCATATTCTACAGTGGGAACTCCAGATTACATTGCCCCAGAAGTGTTTCATCAGACAGGTTATAATAAAAGCTGTGACTGGTGGTCATTAGGAGTGATCATGTATGAAATGCTAATAGGTATGGTATGAGAAATATAGAAAATTTTTAATAATTTGTAGTTTTTGTATGACTCAGCTTGTTAATATGTAAATAGAGTTGGGATGCATCAAAAAAACTAAGAAGTGAGCAAAGCAAACTAGTTAGTTTTTTTATGCATTGCAATAAGTGAATAAATTTATCACTCAAGCACTTTCCAAAGAATGATGTTTTTATTTCATTCATACTAAGGGTTTTTTTTCTTACGGACCAACACATCTTAACAACTGGACACCATTTTTTGCCCTCCACAGTGAAGCACTATCGTTCATGTCTCTATGTATAAAATAAGTATGAATGTGTTAAATAAATTATGATATTTCATATTTCCAACCCAGCATGTCAACACTCTCCCTCCAACCTTATCTCTCATTCCTCACTCCTTATCTTCCAACCTTTGTCTTTTCCCCCACTCCTCTGACATCATAATTGTTATTTTGATCCTGTGGCTGGTAAATTATGTTTGCATTGAGTTCTTTCATACCGTTACAACTGGAAGCCAGACCACCACACCTCATAACCAAAACAAAATATTGATTTATTTTGTTGTTGTTATGTTTAATTTTTTTTTGTATTTGTTTCATGATGTTATTTCAGGCTATCCACCATTTTGCTCAGAAAGTCCACAAGGTGAGCATTAAATTGTTTTCTTGTTGTTGTGACCTCACCTAACTCTGTGCTTGGGTATTTATTGAATGTCTTAAGACTGACAGTATTGTACCACCCTGCTTTAATGAACCTGATTTATTTGCAGCCTTTATTTACAAGGGTATAGCCCATAAGATGTGTAAAATAGAATACCATGAAATTTGTTTGGAGTGGGTCCTGTTTAGGTGAAAACACTGTGTTAAGCTGACATCAGCCTAAATGCCGTTCTTTTTTCCCACATTTATTACAATTGGAAACTTGCAATCAGTAGATACATGGATTAGTGGACATAGCTGCATGGTTGTCACTCTAGCTGTGATTTTCTGTGATTTTAGAAACATACAAAAAGGTTATGAACTGGAAAGAAACGCTGATCTTTCCACCTGAGATGCCCATTTCAGATAATGCAAGAGGTTTAATTGAAAGGTATGTATTTTGATGTTTTTACAATACTTTAAAGTCAGTGTTGAAGGTAATCCAGAGCTGAATTCATTTGGTTTTGCTTTACAATGCTCTGTGATTGGTTTATAAAACTTGCAGCTCTTTCTCAGCCAATTGGAAAAAGACCTTTTCATTCTCCAGGTCAAAGTATCAATTCTATGTACTTTCTACTGAACATTGCTCATCATTTTCACTGTAATAATTTTTGTATTGAAATTTGAACAATATTCCCCCAGTGAATATTTTCTCTTTCCTCACCACCTTTCTTGTACTGTAAGGAGAAATCACTATTTTGTCACTCTTGGGAGTGAAAGGGATAAATTCAATTATAACTCAGCCACTTGCATTTTCTTGAGCTTAAGTCAGTTAAATTGTAGTTATGTGGAGTTTTATGTGCTCCTTGGGATACTCTTGTTCTTACCATTTGGCCACTCCAATTAGTATCCATTTCTTTTGAGTCTAAATTCAATTCAAGTGAGGAGGCTCCAAGATATTGTTTGATATCAACCTATTGTAAGTTTGTAACTGTAGAAAAGCCTGTTGGCTTTACTGAATAATTGTCAGCCAGAGATCCAGCCAGCTTTTTTATCAGGCAAATTTGTGCTTTGTAACAACTCTGTGAGAGTTATTTATTTGATATGACAGATATCATTTGCTTTTTTTGGTAAATTGGAAAAGAATAGTTGTGCCAATGATAATTGTCTGAGGCCAATGAGTTGTTATTTTTTATTGAATGAGAATATCACTTAAATTTAGATTATGATTTCGGTTGTGTTGCTGTCCATAATTTTTTGTATTTAAACTATTCTAAACCATTCTACAAATTCTCTTTGAATGCTTGCCTTTTCAGATGGTGCTGTGATCCAGATAAAAGGCTCAGTAACATAGATGAAATAAAAGCTCACCCATTTTTTTGTGATGTAGATTGGCAAAATATCAGGTAACTTATTTCATTTTTGTACAATGATGTATTTCATTTCAATTTCTCTGAGATTTTAACAATCACATGGATTGCTGAAAAGACCAAAAATACTCATCCTTCATTTTAAAATATTGAAATTTTTATCACTAGTATGTGTAAATTGATGTTTAAATTTTCTTGGTTTAAAATGTTCAAATTTCGTTCAATTTTCATTTTATAGTGGTTCAGGTCAAAAATAGGAAATGTGTTATAAATCTTAAAACATGAAGAAAATTTGAACCCCAACATAATGTAATTTATAATGAACCTGTGGTAGTAGAGGAACAGAACAAAGCTCAGGATCTTCAACTGCAACATAAAAATACATTAATTCAAATACAAATCAATTAGAGGAAGAGGTAATGGATTGACCACACCTTGAGGGAACATACTGACTATGTTACAAGGAAAGCCTTGAAATGGATTCCCCTCGGCAAACAGAAAAGGGAATGCCCAAAAAACACTTGTGGGTGATGTTTAGGCTGAGACAAAGAATTGGGGCTGCACCTGGACCACACTCAAAAGACTACCCAAGGACAGGAGGAGGTGAAGGAGGGAGATCATTGTTGGCTTATGCTCCAGGAGGAGATAAGGGCGTAACTACTAATTACTGCTATGTTAGAAGATTGCAAGATACTGGCTGTTTATGTCTACAGCACCAAAGTGCTAGCTCTATTATACCATTTTATCTATACTGACTACCCATTAAAATTGATTATGAGTTGATTGATAATAGAATGAATTTTCCTATCTACAGGGATAGACCTGCGGCCATTCCAATACATGTGAAATCCATTGATGACACATCTAATTTTGATGAATTCCCGGAATCAGAACTGGATTCAAGTACTGAAATGTTTTGATTTTTGAATCTACAGTAGTTACATTAATTTAAAAAAATAATAATATTAAATTCTTTGAACTAACATCATAAGAATTTTATGATTGACAGTAAGGAGAATTACAAATTTGATCTGGGAGTTAAAGGGTTAAGGTGTTCCTCAGGGAAAAAAAGTTATCAAACAGTTTTTTTTAAACAAACTTTCCTTAAATGTTCCCTACCATTTACCAATGTTGGTTTCAAAAAATACAACAAAAAGGATAGGTCACCATGCTTGTTTAATACATATGACGGGCCAAACTTACCCCATTCATGCTTGTACTTGCACCAATCATGCTTGTCATTTTATTGGTTTCCAGTTGGTGGAAGTAAGGGTGTTAAAAGGAACATTTGAAAAAGAGTTAATAAGCAGAAAGTCCTAAGGGAATGGAACAGTTTGATTAATAATTTGTGGGAAAATCAGGCAATTTTAAGTATGGAGACTTACATCCATTCAGTAATAAGCGAGGAATTTAGACTAAACTGGTCTTTGTAGTGTTAATTGTGCATTTGGCAGCCTACTTTGGGTTCACACAATTTACATGTAGGACTATGTACTCTGTATGCAACTAAAATCTCTATCAGTTTGACACAGGAAATGAAATGCAAAATGCTTTATTCCTTTTCAGACTGGTTCAGAGACACAAAGTCAGATGCGGCAGGTAGTAAAGACTGGGTTTTCCTAAACTACACATTCAAGAGATTCGAAGGACTCACTCAACGAGGTGTTAAGGTTCCACTGCTATGAACAGCATCTTGTAAAACATATTTTCCTGCATACGTGATCTTTTTTATCTATCTAGGTGTAAATCTGAAGATGATACTTATGAAGAACATTAATTTTGTCAGCAGATTTTTTACTTCATAAGTTTGCACAAGACATGAGGGCTTAATGAGAATCACAAGAGTTCATTTAGATGCCAGGAAAGAAAATGTAATTCTTCATTCTTGCAGATTACATCTGTAATTGTCATTAATTTACATATTTCTTACACATTCATGCGACAGTCAACCAACACAAATGCTGGTTGCAGTTCATAAGTGCATTGTTGACTGCAGTTTGGCCTCATTAACGTTAATGTTGTGAAAATTGCAGCTTGAAAATTTTTAAATTCCTCAAGTGCAGCTACTCTGCAGCTATCTCTGATAGTAATGTTCTTTCTCTTTTAAATCTGGAAAATTTGGTGGATAATGTATGACTTATGTTGCTTGTGGTTTACTACTGGTGAAGTCTACAGTTTTTTGCTTGTTTTTTCAGTTGAACATCTTTAAATATGTAGTACCATGCTCTCTCTCCCTTTGTGGTATGACTTTGTACACTGATTACTCAGAACATATCAGAAAATCCTGGTTAAATCTCTCCCCCTTCACTCCTCAGGTCTGCTCGAGTGTAGACAGTAGTACAATTATTCTTCTGTTAGTCAGTAATTAGATGCTAATATGCCTCATTTGTGAATGCTGTTATATTTATTTTTTTAGACCCTGCCCTCTCCTTAAGAGATATGCAATAAGTCTTTCTCCCCCCCCCAACCTCAATCCCTCAAAATGTTGTGTCAGCAGAGGGCTCTTAACCAGGATATTGTGGTAGATGATTTGCCTTTGGGCTGCTTTTCATTACAATTCTTATCTGTGGTTATAAATATTGTAACCTTCATAAAAGGCTGGAGAGGTTGTAATCTTTTATGAATATCAATAGCTATCTTTTGATATTATCTAGTGGTTAACTGACACAAGATTTCATAAATATTTGATGCCGCGCTTAAGAGCTAATAAAAGAAAACATGCTAGAAACTATTTTTGTTAGTTCGAATTTGACCATTTCCAAAGTACTGTTTTCAAGGTTTAAATTGCAGTATGTTTCATATTCAATTGGGGTAAAATAATTTAATGAAAAATAGTCATTAATTAAAACTAAATTGGCAGTAAGTAGAGTTATATAATAATTCAAGGTAATAAAAACATCAGCCACTTCCATGTACATTAGGGTAAACCAAGTTTAAAACCCAAATCTTTACATATGTCGTGGTCTTTTAGATTTGATGGCACAAAATTTTTGTACAGGTATGAATCATTGTTCCAACTATGGAATATGGTTTTTCAATGTTAAATCAGCTGGACAGTTAAGTGATAGACTAAGTGGAAACTTTGTTAGAAAATAATTATGCATTTCAACTGCAATATTTGTACAGAAGGTCAATAAGCAATTCACGTGCATCTTTAACAATGCAACTGTAGTGTAAATAGAAATAATAGAAAAACAGGCTCACAAAGAACATTTCAGTGGAACACATGACTTCTGAATGAAGCTGATTGGGTTCCTAGGTGTCATTTAGTAATCATTCCATTTTGATACTCAAGTACATGTATTCAACTTAGCAGTGTTGTAGCCAAACTTTGTAATTCCTGGGTCCAGTTGTGTAAAGGCTGGATAACACTATCCAATGGATAAGTGTTAACAAAATATACTGTGCTATACACCAGATGGAGATTTATCCAGTGGATAACATTGTCCATGTTTTGCACGATTGGGGCCAGGTGTATGGTTAGAGTTTCCAAGAAAAGCCAGTTACCAGCAGTCTACCACTGCCTCAAGACCTCTAACTGGTGTTTGTTCATCCTGTGAGCAAACTTTAGTGTTTGAGTTTTGCTTTACATCACAGCTGTCTATTGCACCATCAACAGCAGCTTATTATATTGAAACCCCATGTAAAGTTACAACTAAGTTCTTTCAATATCATGGGGTGAGTGGAGTCGTGATGTATGACAAGTTATGACAAGTTTAACAATGCTCTTAGTATGAAAACCATACATGTACGCAAGAAATAATTTAATTTGTGGATTAAAACTATCAGTTGTAACAGTATTAAAAGATGTAATGCAATAATGTTTGTCAATTTTGTTAATAATTAACATATCTTAAATCTAGCCAGAGTACTGTTTGAACTATCAATGTGTTTAGGTGAGAGTGAGTTTGACAAATAAAATAACAACAGTTTGCAATCTTTAGTGTTACCAATAATATCTACTTATTGAATGACTGGGAGGGCTGAATGGGAAATTATTTGGCTCAAAGTTTTGACATACAGATCAAGTTCAGTGAGGTCTCTGTGTCATGACTGAGAGCCAAATATTTTCCCATCCAGCCTACCCATACTCATTTGTCAAAAAGCATTTTATCATATGGCCACTAATTTTTGAAACAGACACCAATGAAAATATTCTAGAGTAAAAACTTTTCCTTTTTTTCTTCAAATCAGAACAAGAAACTCAATTCTTTGAGAAGCACAACTCTTTATCTCATTTTCTTTATTCTGAGTTGAAGTCCATAATTTCAATTCATGTTCTTGGCAAATGAAAAAGAGCTGCCTTAGCTTCCACAACCCTTTTAAGCCCTACACACACCACCTTTCACTCTGGTATTCTATAGGTTTGTAAATTCTAGGTTATTTGGGTCATTTGATAATGAGAAGTAATACCCCGTTCACACCAAAGCTTAAACATGATTAATCTTGTTTTAATCAACTAGTTTTAGTAAACTACCTGTCCACACTGCAGGCGCATGTAGACAAACATGTTTAAAACCATGTTTAAAAAAACTACGTTTAATGAAACTTGTTTAAATTGGTGTGAACAGGGCATAAGTTGTACTGGTGTTTGGCCTGGTAACCTACAACTCCTACTGTCTTCTTCAAAGTTATGATACCACCAAAGAAACATGACCAAAGAATTAAGAAGATAATTAACCCTTTAACCCCTAAAAGTGATTAACATCTAATTTCTCCCAACAGTATCGCACCTGAATCAAACATGAAGATCACGAGAATAAAGGAAATGATCACTAACTAAAGAAGCTCTTGATTGTTAAACAAATTCTCCTTTCCTGCATGTAAGGAAATGTGTAGAGAACAGTAAGGAGAATAAACATGCTGGTGTTAGGGTGCAAAACTCTGGATTTTCACTGACAGTTGAATGTACAAAACTATTTATATTGCATATTGTATAGCACAAACATTTTGTCCTTTCAATTTTAGCAGATAGGTCAATTTGAAAATAAATTTCAACAGAAAAAAAAAACAATTTGAAGAACACCACAAAACAGTATCTCTTACTGTAAAACTTAAAAACCCATTGTAAATTAAAAGTCAATTCATTTTCTCCATAATCCGACTGTCTTGAGACATCCATCTACAAGTCATATCATTTGATCTATTAGAAAATTTGAAAATATTAGGTTTTTTCCTTCTTAATGTTCTTTGACTTCTATCTCCACTTTAACTCCTAAGATCTGAGTTTTAATCCTCCCCTCAAGCTGCTAAACATTTCCTTGTAAAGTAGTTGCAAAAATTTTTGTTAGATCAAGATAACAACTATTACCTGATAAGTTTAAGTATTCTCATCACCAGCTCGGCGGATAATGTATGAATATTATAGGGAGAAGTTACTTGTTAATCACTTCTGAGAGTTACTGGGGTTTTGAAGAAATACATATTTCTAAGAAATTAAGAACATTCTCTGAAAAACAATATTGTATTGAGCTACCAACCATACACCCATTTATTAACTTCTGTAACTGGAAAGTTTCCTAGAAACAGTGATGTCAACCATATCAACTGTCATTCAATTTTTGAGCAGACTAAGTTATTGTATATTTTTTTAAGCTGTCCATCTTAGTCAGCCTCAACTCTTGGCCTTGCCTTGTCTGAAAAAAATAATGAGAAAAAAAAACCTTCAATTAGTAAGAACCTGGGCATTTAAAATCAGCTAAGATTAAAGAAGGGTTCCACTTTTGTCAAACATTTCATTTTTAAATTAAATTTAAAATTAACCATTTTTTTACATTAACTTACTGTCCTTGAGCAATAATGGAAAACCCTTTGGAAAGCAAATCCACATTTAATCGGCCAACACAACTTCAACACAGTAACGCTGCTAATAATAAAAATTCATAAAAAGTCCTCAAAAATATGGCTCTCAAAAACTAATAATTGTATGAGTCACCTTGCTTACAAGCTTAAAAATTGAAAATATCTTCGAGCCTGCGCACATGCACCCTGATCGCATGCCACACTAGTTCAGGTACTGCCTTCTTAACACTTTTATTTCAAAGTTGAGTTATTTTTTGTGTTACTTCAAAGCTTGAGTTAATAATGAAACATACTGTCGGGGAAGAATCCTTGCTTACCTTGCATTGCACAGAAGAATTAGATTCTGAACAGCTGAAAGTGTTGAAGTGTCATTTTGTCCAGTTATAAGGTGTCTGTCAATGATGACATGCATCCCATCTGGTTCACTGGCTGAAAAAGAAATCATGCCTGAGATGGAAATATTTACCATCTTTCCCATTCTAGCTGTAAATATATGAAAATCATACGTGTGAACTACAAAAAAAAAATCAACATGAAAGTGATCTTTGAGGTAATGATACTACTTATTAAATAAGCAGTAGTGAAAATAAGGTGTCACTTTGCAGGTTTATTTGGAACCAGCATAATGGCTAGCCCCCACTTGGCTTGTTAACTCAGTTGGTAGAGCAGTGCACCTGTATCATAGAGGTCATGGGTTTAAATCCTGTATGGGCCTGAATTTTTTTCAGGCCTTATTTTCACTACTGCTTATTACTGCAAATATCACTTCCATATTCCTTTCTCATTCCCTTCCTAGTACTCACTCATGTATGAATCTAGTAAAAACCTTAGAGCTCCTGTTAGCTCTGTTATAGAACATTAGAACATGGAATCCAGATCACTTCCTCAAAAGGACTAGTAAGTAAGTAAGTAAGTAAAGACTTTATTTAAAGAGGGTAGCACTAAAATAGTATAAAAATTCTAACAAACCAGTGGCCCTCTAAAATTATGTACAATACAGATGTTAAAAACTATGGCATAACTATGAGATAATAAAATGATTTAAAAGCTGCTGTTCTTCAAAAATTTTTTTCCAAAGAGAGTTCCTAAAAGAATTAAGCAACGCTATTTTCTGCATAGATAGCAGTAAGCTGTTCCAGGCAGTCACAGTAAATGTTCTTCCTCCTTCAGTTTTACGTTTGATAACAGGGCAAGCACTCAGATTTTATATTAGTCCCACACCAGTGATGAGATGAAAAACATCTGTTATTATTTTCTACCTGCATTCAAAATTTACCTTCTTATTCTATTAACTCAAAGATATGTTAAGGATTAATGATTTTAATTAACCTTGTTTGAGTTGCTATTTCCTTTGTTCCAGAGCTGTACTGAATAAGTATAATGAATGTAAACAGTGATGGCATTTGCAGAACAGAAGTGCACTTCCAGAGGTAGGTAAAGAGAGAATGTTCTTCGGGGTTAAATCTCATAATAATACGTAACCCACCACTGAATGTTCCTCCATGATCTTTGATCCAGTCTTCCAGAATGATAGGTAGACTTGAAAAATCAGCTGAACGAGCTGATTCAAAAACTGATGGCTAAATAACATACAATGCTTTTGTCACAGATGGTTCTGTCTTTTATCTAATAGTATATGGTATATTTTTACTCGATAGCTCCTGACAAATATATATGTTTGGATACAAGACAAAAATTGTATTTTGTACATCAATTTAGCCCTTTCTAATTATGATACCCTTTCAGCATAAAATGACTAAAAATTAAACTTCCCCTCTTTGGCTTTTCTTTTTTTTTTCCTTTTCTTTTAGCATTTTTTCAGTACTGTCCTAAAAAAAGATTCAACAATGTTCAAAGTTTCATGAGTTGATCCACAAGTCTATGTCAAGTTCTGCTTGTATGGAATCACCCTAAATGTAAACTTAGAGGGGTGATAATTATATACTGGAAGTACCATACACTTCCTGTACTTACCCCTGTCATACTAAAGCTCTTGAAACTCCAAGATTTTCCATCCTCTCTCCTTGCTGAACAGAGTCCAGCAACACCATGTCCAATGGCACAGATGGGCTCTGATTGTAACAAAGACAGAGTAAATATTATTCTATACTTATTTAAAAATATAACAAAAAACTGAAATTAATATACTTGAAATTTACACTAATACATCAAAGAGCCAAATGACTTTTTCTGACTCTTAAAGTTTTCTTACTAGCATTCATAACATAAGCAGCATAGTAAAACCTTTATATGGGCCCAAGTGGCCCATGGGGCTGGTGCTTAACTCCGGTTTTCTTAGCATGAAGCAGCTAGGAGTATTGCTACTCTCCCCTGGATGGGAAACAAGTCCATCGCAGGGTTACTCCCCAACACATTTGCTGGTAACCATTTGTACACCTGGGTGAAGAGAAGCACTGTGAGAGTAAAGTGTCTTGCCTAAGAACACAACACAATGACCCTGGCCAGGGCTTGAACCCGGACCACCCGATCTGGAGTCGAGCGCACTAACCACGAGGCCACCGCGCCTTATAAGCAGCATAAGTATCAATTAATAGTCAAGTCTACCCACTTTTTTCATGGACAAATGTATTGAGAAGTTTTGCAAGCTCACTGTCTTGAGCAAGATCATGAAGGGCTCCTGGAGCACTTGGGATAAGCACTGCACCATATCTTGATGCTAAGGATTCAAGAACAAAAGTCAAAAATTTCCATTTATTGCACACAGTTAAAAGGTGAACCTGCACTATGTATGATCTCAAGAATGGTCCCGACTCAGAACTTATTCTTAGAAAATGAATTTAGCTGGTACTGGTGTAGAATGAATCTCCCGAGTGAGCTGTCTTAAATCTTCAATACACACAAAACAGTGGAAAATGAAAATGGTATGAAAAAGGAGCACTCCAGGCTAGTTACTACGGCTTGTAGAAATTTAATTTGGCTTCTAAAATTAGTCACAAATTTGACAAAAAAAGTGTCACTTTCGTCTTTTTGTTAACATGTTTTGGTTTGAGCAGTGTAATAAATGGATGGAGCTAGCTTGTTTCCACCCTTTTTGCCACCAAATGCAAGTCAAGCAATGACTCCTTTAAAACAATGAAGAGGATGCTCAGCATTCACACTCATAGGTTACCATCAACAAAATTTGATCAAAATTTTTACAATTTCAGTTTTTTGCTGTTTAGTAAGAGAAACTAGTTAAGAACTTGATATAGGGCTGAAAAAAAAGTTTTGGGGGAACTTGAACAGAAGAGTGAAAGGTGTCATAATCTGAAACACCTCAAGCAGAGTGTTGACCTCCGCTTGAGGTAGCTTGCGTAGGAAAATTCTTGCAGATGGACCTTGACAGTTGACAGTTACCTTAATTTAAATCTATTGTTTAAAATTCATGCTCACCATCAACATTTTCAAGTTTTCCAGGGACTGAAAATGGTTTGGTTCGAAACTCATTCAACCACTTCCTGCTGTTATCATCTGATTTCACAAAATCTATTTGCTGACCCTAAAAGAGGAAATCTGAACATCTGACTCCTGCTTACAATTTGCATGGTTTTTTTAAGTCCATACATAAATAACATGTCAAGATTGCTGGCCTAGATCAATTTTCCAAACCCTTTTCGATATACCAAAGAGTCAAACCTAGCAATGCTCTCTCTTATTTTAAGCATAACAGGTAAAATAAATTTTCAAACTGGTAGATCAATCCTTTCACCAACTGAATTTAGGTGGTAAAATGATGTACTATAGGGGGTAGAATTTACCAGTTTAACTGCCTAAAATGGAAAACACTGAGATAGTATACTAGTCTAGTTTTATGTAAAATGTGTCGTTCCATTTTCTGCATATGAACACACATACAACCCACAATTCCTTTATTGGCTCTGACGAAGGGCTAACACTCGAAACATCAGCTTTAAAAACTCATAACAGTGGCCAATTTGCATTATCAAATCAGTTGATAAAACAAAATTATATAGAAAGAGCTGCAGACAGATCGACAGACAAATATTACACGTGAGTTGATCAGCCACTCAATTAGCCAATCAGCAGTGAATCTGGTGGATGTTTAGTCAGTTAGTTAGCTTGCTTTGTAAACGTAACACGCATTGGAAAGAAAATTTTCAAATTCCAAACAACAACAACAACAAAAGCATTAAAATAGAGAGAATTTGTAAAAATAAATTACAACTGACAAGTGGCACATGCACCACACATATTACTTACTTGTGGTGTTGCGATCTGGACATTGAATACTGAGTGCGTCAAAGTAAATGCATGAATAAAGGATTGAGCTGAAACGCCTGTTGAACGTCAAATGAAAATTTTCAGTTCACTTTTAAGCCGAGAAGAAAAGCAATGGTATTTGGTAGTACTTTGTTGTGAAAAACCTGGGCAAGTTTTATATCAACTTTCCCCGTATAACCATGCTGCAAAAAAATCCTCAGCATCTCGGGTAATTTATCTATCTATTTTTTATGTATTTAAGTTGAATAACGCAAAATTTCTTTCGAACCTTGAGTTGCAGAACTGCAAACTATCAAACAGTTCGGCTTGGCGGCCATCTTGATTTCCTTTCAGTTCCCAGACTTCCTCCGTTGTAGCGCATTCCAGCCTAATTGACTTAAGCTCGGTAAACAAACATGATTGCGATCAGACAAAGAAAATCTGTAAGCGGTTATTTCGAGTAACATGTGATGCTTAAGGAGGTAGGGAAAATGCAAATTTGACCTTAAAGCCTTATGGAGACATCAATCAAGTTGTCAACTTCTCAAAGTAACTGGGGGTCCACAGTATAATCCTTTCCCTCTTTTTATTGGTCAAAGGAGACAAAATATATCAGTGCGCCCCCTGTTGTCAGTGTCAGATAGAATACATTCTCCTAGTCAGAAGGTGTGAGGACACAACTGCTATAGCCTGCAGAGCAGATGTAATCTTGGGAATTAAGCAAGTGCTCAGTATCTTCCTGGTAAATATTATATCTGCCACCTTTGGTTTTCACAGCAGCTGAAGGCTAGGGAGACATAAAAAAAGTTTTGATGGCTGAGCATTGGTCAAAAGGAAGGAGGGGAGGAGGGGGTCTAAATCACACAGGCTGGCCAGATAAACAGTGGCAAGCTTGTAATCAATGCTCATTCTTTCTAATTAGATGCCTTCACTGCACACTAAAACTGCAATAGAAGACATACAAATGCAGTGCTACAAAAGTAAACAGCAAGTTACTCTTCTCGGTTTTATCTAATAACCAGTCATGTTCTCTACTTGCTCATAAGGTAACATGGTTTTTAAAGTACGTATTTTACAGTGATGAGAACATTGCTCTGTGTCAAAATTTTTTTTAATAATTAGCTTATCCACTGGGCAGATGACAATAGTATAGCCATCACTTTCTTCTGTTACTTTCTCCATCAAGCAATCAATGTTGTTTGAGATTTTTATCTTCAATTTAGACCGACAGCATTTTATAGGGGATTTTATCATATCTGAAATAATCAAGAAATTTCCAAAGATGTTCCTGATATTTTTGAAGATGTTCAGGTGATGAGATGGGAGTTTTCAACCTGCAGGTGTAAGAATCCTGCCCAGTGTGTGAGAGTTGACAGGAATTCCATTTACACAATCACCATCACCATCCCCAATATCATATTTCCATTCTCATTTCTAATCTCTAATCAAATGTGAATGTTATTTCTAGACTCTTTTCAGCCACAACAAAGAGACTACAACTATGTACCACTTTCTCTCAAAATACTCTGCTGAAGAACAAAGGTTTTCACAAATAAACCTCACATTCTGTATTCAGTAGAACATTTCCAAGCAGTGGCATTGTCTTCACAAAGAGCATTAACTGCTCTTCTGTAGGCTTCATCTGGGGTAAATCCCACAAGCTTTGTCCCATATAACTTGACATTTTTCTTTGCAGCTATTTCTTTCACTCTATTTTCAATCTCTTCAGGATGTGTGTATTGAAAATTTCCTTCACTTGAAAGTTCCTGCAAGTAAATGGTGGACTTGATCATATATGTAGCCTGTTAAGCTTGTGGTGTGTGTAGTGTTTTCAGAGAGCTTCAAGCCCTGGTCTGGTCGTTGTTCTGTGTTCTAAAGCAGGACGCTTGATTCTCACAGTGTCTCTTTCCACCCAGGAGTTTAAGTGAGTGCTAGCAAACTGTCAGTGAAGCTGATGAAATGCTGGAGGATAACCTTCAGTGAATGAGAAGTAGCAATGAATATCCCCCTCCCCCTCCCCCTCCCATTACAGTGTTGATACACATTCAAAGTGCTACACCCATAGAAAAGCATAACGGGAAAGGGGGGGGATACATGAAGTTATTTTTTCAGGGGGTCTCAAACTTAAATCAAAGAGTATAGGTTCAACACCAGGTGCCAGCCAAAGGCAAAGAAATGAGGTAGAAGAAGGTTACATTTATATAATTTTTATAGACCTTGGTTTCATTTGATTTCTGTCACACTTAGCTAGAGCTTTCTTGATCTTACCTGCCCCCCCCCCTCTCCCTGTAAATGCATACCTTTGAAGCTTCAACATTACAGGCAATTTCAACTCTTCCTTCATGTTCAAATGCCATTGATTGCACACCAGCCAAACCTCCAGGAGTTGTTGCACGGATAGCCTTGGCAATCTCTTTTCCTAGCTGCAAGTCCTGACAGTCTATAGTGACATTGCAATTGGTGATGTACGGAATAGCACCAACTCCAGTACAACCATACCTCTGCGAGGGAGGGGAGCCAAGATCCCACCCTACCCTACTGAAATCCATATCGTATGCTCCTTGATACCAGTTAACAGCTTTCCGCCTCTCAACCAGTCCTCTGACTAAAGGCTGATCCGCATGACCGAATAAAAAAACAGAAGTCTCCTTTATATTGCCAACGATCCGTTTCCCAAGGTTTAGGGCTATCTCTCCGCATTCTGCAAGAGACACACTTGTGGTTATGGTATGGATAGGGATAAGGTCTACAGATCCAAGCCGGGGATGACCTCCTTTGTGTTTTCCCAGGTTTATCTCTTTGTAAGCCACCTGGCAAGCACGGAACACGCTCTCTTCTATGTTTTCCACCGGAGCAGCGATGGTTATAACTGATCTGTTGTAATCGTAGTCTGAGAAGATGTTCAGAACTGTTGAAGAACACTTAAAGCTTTTTGATTTGGAGGGAAAGTTAAGTGCTGCATTAGCAACTGATTCTACTATTCCTTTATTTCGCGCTTCAGAGATGTTCAGTAAACAAGCCACAACTCGAAAAGCTGGAGAGTTGCTGCCCATAACTGTAAGCTCCTCTCAACCAAAGGACGATGTGAGAATGGAAACGATTTTTAAGGACAGTTCCTATTGGTTTTTTTCATTTTCGCGGATTTTCGCGGGGAAGATAAAACCAATCACAAGGCTCGTTGTAAATGCCGTTGGATTGTGTCAGCGGTTTGAGCATATAGTAATGGCGGTGTGCGAGCTCGTGCGCTTGCTAATATTTAGTTGAAAATGTCCTTCGTTCGAATCCGTCTCACTTTTCAACACTCTCTGCCCCATACTGAGCTCAAGAACTGCTGGTTTCTCGTTGACACTTCCTCGTGTAACACGGTCGCTGACTTAGAGTATTTGATAAGGAAAAGATTCAAGGCACCTTCGAAGAGTTGTTACGCGGTGAAATTGTTCCTCGACGATTTCCTTCTTCCTTCACAAGAGAAGATAGAGATCATTCAAAATAATGACCACATAAGGTGTCTATATCCCTAAGTTTAATTTATTTAACTTGTGGGTTAGGTATTAATTTAGTTTACTAGGCTTGTGCGTCGGTCCACAACGGCAGATTGTCAACTTTTAATTGATTTTGCTTCTCTAACATACTTTTGGTCTCCTCTCCTCGAAAGCTTAAACTCATTAATGTTTTTTCCTTTTCCTTTCCTTGTAAATCCCTTGCTTTTCACCTCTCACATACAACTCATCACATAGCTAGCGCCATTTTGAGTATACGGGAATAAGATAATGCTTCATTTACCCACTTACAAAGTCTTCTGGTCTGCACATTTGACAGGGTTGAGATCCAACAAACAACAGAAAAACAGATAGATAAAAAGGAAAGAGATGAGCAAGGTGAGTGGAATGGCTGTTTCACATTTAGTCTCTATAAAAAGACTAAATGCATAATTTTCTTTACAGACAACCACAGTCAAACCTGTATTTAGCAGTCACTCATGGGAAATGGCAGTGTAAAACTTAAAACAGACTTCTTGATACAGGTTCCACAGAAAAGGGGTATTATAAAAAAATGATATAGAATGCTATTATATGCTATAAATGACCACTTCATGTGCAAAAACATGCTCAAAAATACTACTGATTTCTGAGTGACAAACATGGATAAGATTTACTTGAAAGATTATTCTTAGTTTTGTTTGAGTGGTTCTGCTTAAAAGATTGTTCAACGCCAATAGAGGACAATAGGAGTAAGTACAGGGTGATCACTACCACTTAATCGAGGTGACTGCTTCTTAGAGGTAAAAAATTACTGTAATTATTTAAGTGGTAAAAATTTAGGGACTTTGAAAACTGACTGCTTAATTCAGGTTTGACTGTATAGTGCAGAATCTAGTAAATCAAAAACAGGCATAGAACCATTTTATTAGAGATTGTTTTCTTAGCATCAATAATACTCATGCAGACACTTGTTTACAGCAGTAGAAAACAAAGGGGAAAGGAACAGAAAGAAGAGCAACTTACCAAATGCAAGGTATCATCAGTGCTGTTAAACCTCTCTTCTTTTTATTAAAATTAACAAAAACATTTCTTCAGCAAAATGTACCAAAATATGTCATTTTTAGTGCTTCTTTACATAAGCCCTCAGCTAAGGAGACTGAACAACTACACTGTGTATTATTAACTGACCAGCCAGCTGACTTATTTTACAGAACACAATGAAAGGTAAATTTGAAAAGTTTCAAATGGCTGAACTCTTAATTAGGTTCCCATTATTTCTTTTTCCTTTGTGTCAGCTCTGAAAGGAAGAATATCAGTTCTTGCAACAATATACCTTACCTAACTAGAGGTCATGACTTATGTAAGGAGATGAACTGAACATACAGTGGTTTGCTCCATGTTCTACTTTAAAACTGGTTTTAATGCAATGTTAAACCCCCAAAGATCAAGGATTTCATTGTTTCCTTCTCTCCTAGACTTTTGTGATGTTTTTATAAAATGATATTTAGGTGTCATTGTTACACATTTAAATTCTCAATATTATACTTCCTTGGATTGAAGCCAAGCAATTGAGGACTGCTAAGAGCTAAAAACTATTGCCAACTCAAAACAACCATGTATCATTTAGATGGCTGACCATTGGAAAAACGTCATTGGGAAACATCAAGAAAATAGATGTAATATGAATTTATTCCCCTTCCATCCCTGATGATCAGGATGTCTACAGTTCATGTCTTTATAAAGTGACAAAATCTGGGATTGTCAGGAAATGGTGAAATCCCCATCTGAGTGAGATTGTATGACACATAAAAATCAGCCTTAGCTGATACTTTATGTAATCTTTCAGGGATAAACCGAAAAAGAAACAAGTGGACAGGAACAAACAGGTTGTCAGTGATAGAAAGATAAAAGGTAATAACTTGCCAAAGAAAAGAGTACAAAATGACAATGAGATGCCTATGGAGAGTAAGAAGGCCAAGAGAGACAAGGTATCCTCACAGGATAGTAAAAAAGTGGCAAGAAAAGATCCAAAGCCGAAAAAGGAAGCTAAAAGAAGACACAAATCAAAATTGTCTTCAGTTGTGGGGAGTGATGTTGGTGCTTTGTTATCACAGGAGAAGATGAGTTCTACTAAAGCTTTTTCATCTACAACAAGCTCCCAAATGAAAAAATTGAATAAACCTTTGAAAGGAAAATCTACAATCCAGCAGAAGCAAACTAATGGAATTAAGGTATCTCTGCAAGGCAATATTCATAAAAGGAAAGCTGCTTCATTGCTTTTGAAAACAGATTCAAAAAAAGGCAAGCATGGTGGAGAAGTAACACTTGGGGGTGATAGAAATGCCATTGATAGTGACAGTACTACCTCTAATAGCTCCAGCTCAGCAGACGAATCCAGACCCACAAGATTACCATCTCAGGTAAAAGTGAGTACATCTCTGACAAGCATCACCCAAAGGAAGGTTGATTCTGATGAGTCAAAAAAAGATGCTCACAGAATGACGTCAAAAGAAACAAATGAAAAACAAGGAAAGAATACATGTAACTCTATTCCTAAATCATCTTTGACTTTGTGGGATGTCAGTGAGGGAACAAGAAATGACAGATCTTTTTCATCACCATCAGAATCTTCCAGGGGTGTGGAAAAGTCAGAGAACTCTTCTGTTTTTTCTCATGGAAGTGCAAAGGTGAATTCAAGAACTGAGAGCACCAGCAAGAACACTTTTTCATCCTTAGAAAACCCTGCATTGTCATCCAGAACATCATTCCAGTCACCTAATTCTGCATATAGTCAGACACTAACAAGACAAAAAATTGAGACATCTGACAAGCAATCTGCCACTTGTTCTAATACCAAGCAAATGAACACTACTGGACAAGTACGGCCTCTATCAAGTGCAAATGAAAGACATAGCAAAAAGCCAGGTATAGTCATTGTAATTACAGTCAAAGCTCTTGTAATGGTTACACTTGACAGATTTCATTTTAAAAAACTCCTATTAATACAAATTCCCATAAGAAGCCAGCTCTGATAATGGAAATTCACTGTTTGTGTACCATTACAAGCTTTTACTGTATATATAAATTGCATACATGTACCTAAACCTAAAAGTTGACTTTTCTTGAAAAAGTAATGTGAGATCTTAACCCCTTAACTCCATAGATCTGATTTTCAGTTCTACCCTCTAGCTACTACACATTTCCTTGTAAATGAGAATTTTGGTGTTCAATCAAGGTAATAAATTGTTCCTGATGAGTTTGAGTATTCTTACAACCTGTTTGCTGTATAATGTATGCATACTATAGGGAGAAGTTACATGTTAATCACTTCTGGGAGTTAAAGAGTTAAGGAAGACTTTCTGATGCAATGATTGTCAAAATTTTAGGTCTAAAGAAGGGCTGGATGCATTATCACTGAGTAAGGAATGATCTTGATTTCACTCAGCCAAGTAAAATGTCATTTTGAGGGCAAAAGGGAACACCTCTTGGGCTTTATAAAATTTCCAATTCCCTGTGATATTGCTAATTGACATGTGATATTTGACAAGTGCAACAGAGTTTATCCCTGTAAGGCTAATGTAATATCAAGCAGGCAATTGGTATAGGTAATAACATGATTTCAAGTTAAATTTGGCATAAATAAGCATGAGTAAATTTTTCAAAGACAACAAAATTGCAAGAGCCCATCAGGCAAAAGCAACTTGTGGTCTTGAAAAATTTACAAGTGCTTATTTGCATCAAATTACATGAGAAATCATCTCATTATTTACAAGATAAAAGTATCACAGAAAGTCAAGACAGGCAAAATTTTGATAGCACACTATTTATAATCTGCACTCATCTTACAACTTTGTACTCTTGTTACATGAAAAACACACTAATTTCAGCCAATCATGAATGCTTAATTTTTTAAGTATGTTATTGATGAGAATAGGGAAAACATCAATTGGGGCACTATTAGTGGATCCATTGCCAAATTTTTTAAACTAACATCATAATTGTATCGCAGACAGAAAGGAGAGTTACTAAAGAGATCTTGGGAGTGAAAGGGATTAAGAGTGAAGAAATTGGAACATTGCTGAAATTTTTCTCGTTCATGTACTCTGTAACACTTGCAGACACCCTGTGAATATAGTTATTAACTGGGGTTCTCTCAGTGTCCATGTTATTTTTGTGGAACTCTCAAAGACTTTTCACCTTCCTCACTCTCTAATAGAATCCAGTCAAGAAACCAGCCACATCAGATTTGATTCAGAGGAGTCTGAAGAAGAAAGTATTGACAAACAACAGGAAAACACTGGTTTGACTAATGGCAACTCAGAGCACTTATTAACCAATGCAGGTTTAACCCCATATTTTCCACCATGTACACAAAATCAGCCACCACAGACCCCAGAAGCAGCTGTCAGTGAGCTTAAGGTAATTCCCATAAACAGGATACACTTGACAGTTGTTTTTAAAACAACGGGCTATTATTACTTGTTTTTGCCTTCTGTACCAGTTGAAAAGCATCCCAAACTCACATCTCAAGAAAAAGCAAAAGATTCATAATTTCATGAAAGTGTCACGTTATGACACCA